TTCTCATGGTCAGTCTGGTTATAATTTGCTGATTCTGGTCTCAAATTTTCATGCATTGCATAAATGGCCTTCGTTACTTCTATAGCTCAAATATTGTTATCTTTGAATTTAGGCCTCAGCTGCGCAAACTGAAGAGTTGCTCGATAAACTAAGTGTCTCTTTGACAGGCGAGGAGCTTGACATCATCGAAAAGCTTTATCACCAAGCAATGAAACTTGAAATAGAGTTCTTCTCTGCTCAGTCCCTTGTTCAGCCAACCATAGTTCCTCTGATCAAAGAACATAACCCTGCAAAAGATCACCTCATGATATTTTCTGATTTTGATTTGACCTGTACAGTCGTTGATTCATCTGCCATTTTGGCTGAAATTGCAATAGTAACAGCACCAAAATCTGATCAACATCAATCAGAAAATCAGATTGCTCGGATGTCATCAGCTGATCTCAGGAATACATGGGGCCTTCTTTCCAGGCAGTACACAGAAGAGTATGAGCAGTGCATAGAAAGCTTTGTTCCGACTGAAAAAGGTATAGTAACAATTAAGGCAATCTTGTTTGATACTCATGAATTTTCAACTTTTGTTTTGAAGGTGTGAAATTGTTACAAAAGCACCTTTATAGAGGTTACTTGCTCAGATGTGACTGTTTGACTTTCTGTGGTTTTGCAGTGTTGTTTGACTATAAAAATCTGCATAAAGCACTTGAAAAACTTTCAGATTTTGAGAAAAAGGCAAACAATAGAGTTACGAAGTCTGGAGTACTCAAGGGTCTTAATATTGAGGATATAAAAAGAGCTGGTGAACGTCTCATTCTTCAAGATGGTTGTATTAATTTCTTCCAGAAAATTGTCAAGAGTGAAAACTTGAATGCAAATGTTCATGTTCTTTCATACTGTTGGTGTGGCGATCTCATCAGGTCAGCCTTTTCATCAGGTATATTTTCCTAATGAACATTCATAAACTTTTACTTTTGTTCATGTTTTATGTGTATGCATTACGCGGACTAAATTTACGCTTATTCTCTTGTTTTCTTGGAAGTACTATAGACAGTTTTATCGTTTTGATCCCAGTAGCTATATCTTGTATGTTTTGGACAAGCTGGTGGATATTGAAATACGATCCTTCTTTTTCCTCTGTAGAAAATGAATTGAACATGATCCTAACTGACTTTTGCTAAAGAGAAATTGATGTGAATGTATTACATCTTTTGTAGGCGTAGTTTAACAGTCGTTTTCATAAGATGCCTTAAAGGTGATATTACCTAGATTTAGGATAAAATTCTGGATCATATGAGTTATGGGAATAATTTGGTGGGCATGGATTTTTCCTTGTACATGTATATTTGAGGCCATCATTCAAAACCTTAGAATCTGACCCTTGGTGGGCATATAAGATGTCCATTGTTGACATTTGAATTGCATATAGTTATCACTGTGAGCAACTGTATCTTGATTTTCTCTCTTGTGTTGCCTCAGTCCTATATATGTGTGTATACATATCATCAGAACTAAGAATAAGTAATGTGTTGTTGGTTAAGATACATTATTACATTGCATCTCATTGGGACCCTTCAGCTATTTTATTGTTAATTTTTTTTTTTTTGGGGTCAACAGTTGTTTCCTTTCGATTAAGTGTGGTTTCTTTGTTCCTTTTTCCTGTGACCAAGTACAAATGATCAGCATTATCTATTTATTGACTTTTGGAGCAGGGGATTTACACGAGCTGAATGTGCATGCAAATGAGTTTACCTTCGAAGAATCCATCTCCACAGGTGATATTGTTAAGAAGGTGGAGTCTCCTATTGACAAGGTTCAATCTTTCAAAGATATTTTAAAAAATTGCTGCGATGACAGAAAGAACTTGACCGTTTACATTGGAGACTCAGTGGGTGACATACTTTGTCTGCTTGAGGCAGATATAGGAATTGTAATTGGGTCAAGTTCAAGCCTTAGGAGAGTGGGGACTCAGTTTGGTGTATCTTTTGTTCCATTGTTTCCTGGGTTAGTTAAGAAACAGAAAGAATTCATAGAAGGAAGGTCTTCCAATTGGAAAGGGTTAACTGGCATTCTTTACACAGCGAGTAGTTGGGCTGAAATACATGCCTTCATTTTGGGGTATTAAATTTTTGTTTTTTTGTTTGTTTGTTCTTATGCACTCAACTATGTGCTTGGACAAAGGAATCATTCATATATAGTGGAACACAGATAAAAGTTGGTGTCGTGTCAAAAACCAAAGATAAAAGTTGGTGGCTGATTTTATAAGGGCCACAGGTTTGCTGCTGCCTTGCTCTTTTTTCCTTCTCTTTTGTAAACAGGAGACCTCTTTGAGAAATGTGATGTTGGCCTCTCAGGGTGCTGTAAACAGGGTATGTGCAATTTTCTTCTGCTTCTTTCATGTTTTTCCTCGGTCTTTTACCCTTGGGTATTATTTAACTTCGTTATCGTATCTGTTTCTTGAATCCTCATATTTCAGGTATCGAGGGTTTACAGGCAGCAAGGAATCAAAACAGAGATTGTTATATCATTTGTCCATATAAACATTTCAAGTTCTGTATCTGTATTTTGATAGCTGATTGCTATTCGATATTTTTGGGATGAATGGCAGTTTCGGAGTGTATTTTCGGTGGTACATATGCCATGTCCTATTATAAATGCAGATGCAGAGTTCATGTTAATGTTTGGATGTTGCAACTTTCTTGAATAGTTTGTTTGCTTCTGATATCTGTGCCCTCTCATATTGTGCCAAAGAAAAGATATACGTGCCCTCTATATTGTGATTAAAGATTGTGCCTACATTTGTGTATTATATGTAATATAGATTTGCCCTTCAGTCAAATACAGCCCCACTGGTCTTATTCATATAGAACAGTTGTCCCAATGTAGTCGGACGCAGTGCTCTTGAAGGACATGTGTGGCTGCGTATATAACCATAGTAGTCGGTACGAGATGCATCTACCATGACAAAAATTGAACTCAGTTGCCTTGATCCCCAAGGGAACTGAGATCTTAATTTTAGAAGAAATAGACTGCCTCATCTGGGAAGTGCATGTCCTTTGCTTTTAGTTGATTCTTTTTACATACGTATGTCTTTAACAGCATGTTGGTATCCATTGGATGTTTGGTTGGGGCCATAATTTAATTTGTCATAGATAGTCCACTATTGAATTGCATGCGTTGCTTGGTTTGGCTTGCATCATACTTTTGGAAAGACATTTGAAATGCAATGCTCCAAATTGGAAACATGAAACGGATGACCATAACTTTTCAGTCAACATAACATCCATGATATGCAAACTATACATGCACTGAAACAATTCATATTAAACTAAGAGGATAAATGAGAGAAGAAGACAAGTTGACCACTACTTTTCTACATGCATTCGGACAAGGATTTCTCCATTTGCGCCCCACATTTTGTCATTTGTGTAAGTTTTTCAAATAATTGAGCCCAATGTAAAGCTTCCTTTTTCTTCCTTTTCTTTAACCAACAATTCCTACTTTCTCACTTATCACGCTTAATAAAGTGATTTGGCTTGGCTTCCAATAATATATATATATATATATACACATAGGTGTCAAGCTAGAAAATCTTGTTTGGTGGAAATGATGACATGGCGGTGGGCCTTTGTCCAGTTGTACGAGAATAGTGTTTAAGAACAGTTTTAGGATTATACCATCATCACCAACTAATAGTATTATTAAAGATGTGCTTCGTACTGAAGATTTCATAAATCATTATAAGTAGAAAATTTAACTTTTCAATGGGAGTGGGATCTTAGCTTTTTTGTTTCTGAGTTCTGATGCACTTAAAGCTCAGTGTGGTTGGCCACGTTTCCAAATCTCATTGGCTTTGGCTTCCACTCAAACCAAAATCCAGAGACTTTTTAATTGCAAACCCGTGAGAGCTTCTTTCTTCAATTGCAAAAACATTATCCGTGAGGTCCTTACAAGTTACATTTCTTTCTTTCTCTCCTTCTCTTGTTCAATTGGATCAGCTTTTGGCCCCTCCACTCTTTCAATTTGTAAAATCCATCCAATCAATCTCTCAACAATCCAATTTGAAAAGGCCCCTCCCCTTGACTTTGTTAGTACTAGTCGATCGTCCTTAATCATACCATGTTTGTTTACAGTGGACCTTACCCACTTAAACAGCACTAATTCTCAACTGAATCTCAATTCTCACTAAGAGCTAAGGCTGTAATTTAATATTCCAAAAATGTCTACCCACAATTAGCTATATATGGCTACCACATGTTGTGCCAATTTAGTATGTCAATGAAATAGGTTTCATGTGCAAACAGTTGACAATTGAGATCATATACGAATGATGTTGATCATCATTTCTTGGAATTAATTAGTATATGGTACAACAGATTAAAAAAATATGTACATCATGTGACTCTTTGTCATATGCTATATGGACATGAACGCGAATGAATGATTATTAGTGTTTGATGTAGGTGAATTCTACTATGGATACATCAACGACTGACAATGGTGTGCCGGCATGGATTGTCAAAAGCAATTGAACGACAAAATTGACATGAGAGACAAAATTTTGACAAGAAGCTCTAAAAACAATTATATAAGCAACTAATAAACTAATGCTGCCATTTCTAATAATGTCATTATCTGCAAAACCCAAGAACTATCTTGTGTTATTATATATACAAAACCTAGGGATTGAGTTAATTAGAGGCCAGCTAATTAGGTTGTCCAATCCAATGGGTAAGTTTTGGCCAACTATGAGCACAAATCAAAAACGAATATTGTTTTTGTTTTTATTTTTAGGTATATATGTGGATCCAAATTGGATAGCTCACCTCAGATTCCAACTTTAAATTATAAGAGGGGGGGTCCTTTTTACTTAATGGGATATTCCTTTTATCAGTAAAACACATAGAGACATGTGAAGTAGGGCCTCCCATGTACGTACGTGGCCTAATTCATTTCCCTTTCACCTTTGTTTCATCCGCTCCCACAACCGATTGTACATCTATATATACCCAACCACCCCAAAATTCTACTGCCTCTTTCTTCTTCCCCTACAACTTAAGTTGATTTTTCTGCCAGAGAAATAATAATTAGGGTTTCACTGAACTTGTCCAAGGAATGATGGTGCTTCAGAAGTTGATAAGAAGAATGTCAAGTGGAGAAGAAGATCATTCTTTCATGTCCAAAAGCTCACCAGGAGGAGGATATAGGGTCCTCACCTTTCAGTCATGGCCTGATTTACAGCAGTAAAGAAGGTATGAACTTGAGGAGGAAATGTAACCTCAGGCAAGTCTGATTCTTGGCTTATACATATGATATATATATATTTATATATCAACCCTTCATATTTCCTTGACCTTCTCCTTTCCTTTTTTTCTTTTCCTTTTAGTTTCTGTTTGGACGAACTCCTTTCCCCTGATTCTTGGCTTGTTTGCCAAGAAATTAATGGAGGAAACTGAAATAAACTATGGAATGTTAGCTCCTCCAGGTTGAGCAGCGAAAGAGATATAATTTTGTATTTCCGTTGTTTTTTTCCTTGCTTTGATCTTTATTATGCACTTTGCTAGTGTGCTCCATGACTGTAAGAGACATCGATCGTCGTTGTATAACACAACTGGTTTTCTGGTTTTTCTCTGTTTCTCATTGATTAATGAATCGTTGACTTGACACCGCAGAAGTGCTATACTAATACTTTATACTCATCAAAACTGGAATCTTTTATCTTCCAAGTTATTTTAGTATTTTCACGTTACATGAGCAGGGTAGATAATGGAACGTGTTTGGATGAAAAAGCTACCGCGTCACCGCGTGTCTGATTCTTTTCAAAGAATAATTGCACGTTAGGGAACATACCTCTATATGTATATATGTATATATTAACCTCAAATTAATTAGAGCACATGTACTCCTCTTCCCAGTTAACTGGCAATTAGCATTCTTAATTAGCTGGCGATGAATGTTCAACGTTTGAAACAACCTCTCATATCATATACCTCTTTCTATGAGTCTTCCGGGTTAACAACAAGAAGCCATAATATATAATATGAGACAATGCTTAAAGATTTTTGCTCATGAATGAAATGATAGGGCCTAGCCGCTTAGCTCTCTAAACCTCAAGTTTATCTAAAATCTTCTTCTTCTATATTCACATTATGCGCAGCAGCAGCAGCTATTTATAGAACTCAAGCTTTTATTTTATAGCAAGGAAGGAACATGATAAAACCTTCCTTGACAATATATAATGAAGACTAGCTAGGCAGAGAATCGATCAGAAGATAATGTACTGGAAAGTAGTGACCCCTTCTTTTGCGGGCACATGTATGTCTAGGTCTAGTCTAGGAGGAGGACAGCAGATAGAATAAACAAGATTTGAGTAGCTCTTGAAAAAGCCAAGGACGTGGGGCTATAGCAACTATACATGATCAAATGTTGAAGCAAAATTGGTATAAATGGCACGGCATTGGCATGGCAGGGTTCCAGATAGTTGGGAAAAGTTAAAGGAAAAGAAGAAGAAAGAAGAAAACACCTTGGATAAAGTTGCAGAGGGCTGCTTCCTCTACAGAATGTGCAGAGAAAAAGAAAAGAAAAGAAATTATTATGAGAGATAGATACCATGGAGCCTTCATTGGGAAGATGGAATCTTTTCGTCCAACATGGTAAAAGCCAGAACACAGGGAGGGAGTGGGGGGCCATATTTGTAGCTTTCTTTCTGCATCTTTTTATTTTTTTCAATTTTAAAGTAAATAAAGTAGTTGATTATCTACTACAGTTTGGGATAAGGACGATGGATCACTAAAGTCTACCACCCTCCTCCATCATTTCAATTTCCTTTTCATTATTAAAATTATGAGTTAGTCACCATGTGTTGTCACCTAGTGCCAAAATGAGGTGCAATTTATAATATAAAAAAGAAAAAAGGAAGACAATCAAATTTAGATTTTTCTATTGGTCCGTGACTCATCAAAGACTCAGTAACAAAGCTAATCAAAAATTAAATAAAGTAAATAAACATATAATTTATATAATATAGTATGTTATTTGGTTGATGATTAGTTGAATGACACTTCAACAAAATTCAGAATCTGATAAGCAAATTGGAGAAGACAGACAGAGTCACAGAGAGCAGCTTCCTTCCATCACCCAATGGATAACTGGCCTTCCTTTTCAATATATATAATTAAATCGCTCTCTCTCTCTCTCTCTCTCTCTCTCTCTCTCTCTCTCTTGCAGCTTTGACTTTGGCATCCTTTCTTTCCTTTCCTTCTTAGTTCAACTCTGTAAGTGCCAACAATTAATTGAATATTATATTATATTATACAATTGCACTCTTTTTTGGGTGGGTGGTGAAGAAAGAAAGAATCATTTTATGTTGGGGCGTCCGTACAACTTTAACAAGGATAATATTAAATTCAGCCAAGTTGGATTTTTTATTTTCTGCCAGAGTTAAGAGGAGGAGAGGGAAACTCAAACACACGAGTATTATGAATTAGTTCAAACTCATACATACGACTATCATGAATTAACACAAACATATTATATGGTTTCATGAATTAACACAAACATATTATATGGTTTTATTTTTCGTTTTCTAAAGTTAAAAAAAAAAAGAGAAAACTCAGACACACAAGTACCATGAATTAGTTCAAAGTTATACACACAAATACCATGAATTAATACAAACATATCATATGGTTTTTTCCCTGTAAAAGTGTGTTTTCAATCGGTGGACGCTATGGAGGAGGAGGGTCTTCTTTTCTTTATTAGTTTTCGGAACCATTAAACCACAGTGAACACGTGCACGCTTTTATGTTATAGAATAAATCCTCTGCCATTCAATCAAGAACAGAAGTAATTGATCTGCATATTTTGCCCGCATAGCAGAACAGTGAAAAAATCATCCACATTTATTCAACATAAATTTACTTTGCCACTGCTTTTACTATCTGGTTTGGTTAATCTAATTGGTCAATTATAGTGAACAAGAAAGACTAAGACAGGTTAATAAAAATACTTGATAGCAATTAAACTTTTTTTATTTTATAATATCAGCTATAAACAATTAATAATTACTATTGCCATAAAACAAGAAACACTGTGTTATGATATCAATGTTCTTCATTTTGAAGTCTATACTTGAGTTAGCATGGAACACATAGTTCAGTGTAACATTTGTGATTGGTATTCAAATTTATACTTCACCATAAATGTCAAAGATTCATATAATTCTATAGGCATAATATGCCATTGACGAGGGCATCACTTAAATATTATTTATCTATCCCGGCTAGAATGTCAACCTTATCTTAATGGATAACATCAAATTATGGCATTCTTGAATTAGATTGATGGTGTGGTTTCAACAACCTTTGTTAGGTTTTATATAGAAATTTAAAGGCAGTTCTTTGTAAGTGATGCTTTAATAAATAATTAAATACAAGTGATATGAATATGTTGCAAGGTTACGTGGACTCTTCACTTCATCTTGTTGTGATATACTTGGGCACTAGGTAGGAATTGCAGATGCATAGAAGACCTTCGGAGGAGAAAGACAAACCCTGTGATATACTTGGGCATTGACCCTCGTCTGACTCCCATACTTAGGTTCATGTAACATATGTGATTGCACGAACTCCTTAGGAAATATGCTCTATTTGCGTAGTTAGTTGATGAGCTACTTCTTATATATATATATATGAGAAACATAAAATTCACATAAGAAATATGATGACAAACGATTTTTATAGCCGCCCGGCTATACTCTTAAAATATATTAATATATTAATATTTAAATTGTATAGCCGCGCGGCTATACTATTTTGAATATTTTAAAAGTATAGCCGCGCGGATAAACTCTTTAACATTTACGAAAATTTTAAAGAGTATAGCCGTGCGGCTTTACCTTTAAAATATATTAATATTTAAATAGTATAGCCGCGCGGCTATACAATTTAAATCTATACGAATATTTTAGAAGTATAACCGCGGGCTGTGCGGCACAAAATGGTTTTCTTTTTTGTAATTAAGTAATATCTTAGACTTTTGTAATTACTTTAATTAGAAATTATGTTTTAATTATCATTTCTTTAGTGAATAATTAGTATTTAAATAGTGAACAAGGAAGACTATGACAGGTGAATAAAAATAATTAATAACAATTAAACTTGTTTTGGATGATAACAACTTTTTATTTTTTGAATATCTGCTATAAACAATCAATAATTACTATTGCCACAAAACAAGAAACAGTGTGCTATGATATCACTGTTCACTTAGACTGCAAAATCCGATTGTACACAAGAATGTCGGAATTATGATTGTCACAAAATTTCTTGGATAACAAGCAATTCTAGATCAACAAGCTTTCTGCAATACTTTACAAACTAATGGTAGGGCCTTTCCATGCGAAATAGGTTACAACAAAAGGAATCAAACACTTCTTACAGTTACATGTTACATACTCTGTTTTGTTCACCAGTCAACACAACAAACAAAAGCTCCTACTTCTCGTTCCATCTCGGTCTTCGAAACCTCTTAAAAATGACCTAGTTGCAAGGTGCTCTGAAGCATATGTCATGAAAGATGCCAAAGCCAGGCCTCCCACAACCATTAAACCTAGCCTGTTAAATGTCATAATAACATAAATTGTTCTTAGCCCTCTTTTTGAATCATATTCTTCCCAAAGATGGAAAAGTGGCACAGGCAAGAGCAGATTACCTTAAAAAAAGAGCAGTTACCCCAAAAAGACATGGCAAAGATGGAGCAGCAATAGCCAGAAAAGCCATTCCTAGCCCATAACACAGTGTAGCACTATCACATAAAGATTCTTGCCGTTGATGACCTATAACACATCCAAAAACCATAAACTAATTTAGAAAATAAATAAACAAAACAAACAAGGAACTAATTCGATGAAATTTGGCACATCAGCATTGGATTAACTCAAGCCAACTAACCTTTCCCGGAATCATAATCAACTGATTCAGGAACAGAGGACAAGGCTCCTGCTTGCACTGCTGTTCCCTTTCCCCACTGGTAAATTAGATGGAGATAACCTCCAAATAATATAAAGAAGATTGTGAATGTCCACTCATACATCATTAGTAAACCAGTCCATGGCATAACCTGTCGAGGCACAATTGCAAAAGCAAGAGCAAGGGCCACCAGGGCAGCCATGAAACAGACAACAATAGAGATCCCACCCAAATAAACAGGCACCTTGGTCTGCATCACATTAAAGGATTGTTTCACAGCATAAGTACAAACAAAAACTTTATAACGACCACATAACTTTGTAAAGTGCAGAAGACAGTCTATTTTATATAAGATAAGCTTGAAAGTGAAAGGAAATTGGACCAGTCCAACAAACACCACTGAGACATGGGATCTAACCTGATGGTTGGGATTAATGGAGGATGATGTAGAAACAACAGTATAATTAAGTGAAACTGTAGATCTAATCTTGTAGTAAAGGTGTTTCATTTGGTCATACAATGAGCTTCTACATAACGAGCCAAAGTACTCCTGTGACTGCACCAATATTCATATACCTTGATATTCAGGAAAAAAAAAACAATTTCTCAAAATTGGGCTAAAATGATCATCTACTTGCTAACCTGAAGAAACGACCGATAGTAACAAAAGAGTAAAGCACAAAATGGTAGCAGGAAAAGAAAA